ATAGAGAAATAAATAACTTTCCAGAAATAACACTTATTTATTTACTGCTGACTTTGATCTGTCTTAATGAAACAACCTCGTATATAATCCGTTTTAATGAAACACCCTTCACATGTACAATATGTGTAAGCTGGAAGAATTCGTTATATGGAGAATCATTAAACCCTATATTTCTGCGGTAATTCTCGAAAAACATGTAAAATTTATAATTTATTAGTCTACTCGTGACCCGTTGTCAGTTCAGGTTATGAAACATTGAAGTTGATTTTAACATTACATTGAAATGAAAGTTAATTTTATTATGATTCAGCTAAATATTTCAATTATTTCGTGTCATCATTGGTCTTTTGTTTAGAAGCTAGCGTTTAACAATTTACTGATGGTTTACGGCATTTAATAAGAGAAGAATTTCCGGCATAAACTTGAAATTTAAATCAGATAAATTATAAAACGCGATTTGTGTGCGCGCGCGCGCGCGTGTGTGTGTGTGTGTGTGTGTGTGTGTGTGTATCTGCATGTTTATATATTGGATCGGATTTCCTACATTTTCAACAAAACTTCACAGGACTGCATAAAATTAACTTGCGTTGGTTCTGACAGCGCCAAAAATTGGAAAAGGACAATTGATTTTGCACGAAATCAATTTGAACACACGATAAAACACGATTCTGTCGCTAAAATGAAAGGGGGACAACACATATCGAGTTATACTTATTATAAAACCCAGGTTGTGTGTGTGTGTGTGTGTGTGTGTTCGTTTATATATGGGATCGGATTTCCTACATTTTCAAACCGATTTCAAATAAACTTCACTTTTTTTTTTTTTGGCAGGTAGTGTTTCTTATTGTCTTGCACACTTTTTTTTCTTTTTTTTTTTACATTCAGAATGCTTTAAAAATTCCATTTACAAGACAATTGTTTATAATAAAATTCTATTCAATCGGTAGACTCATAACGATTGAAAACAATGTTTTTGTTTGAGTTTGGGTTTGACCAATTCGTAAAAAAAAAAAAAAAAAACTAATTAAGACATGCGTATCCGTCAACCTTAAACAATAATCTTTGTCAATTTTATTTTTCAGTCTTTATGATGGTCGATACTTGATCTATCTCTTACAGTTACATCCCCGGGCAACGCCGGGCTCTACTGCTAGTTATTTATAAATCATATTCACTAGAAATACGCCAAAAAATATGTTTTAAATATCTAAAATATTTGTTGTTTAAAGGAATCTGAAATATGAATAATTATTCGAAAACAAATGGACGAAGCAGCAAAGTAGGACCTGTTTGTGTTTTTAAAATATTTGATTTAAAAAATTGTACGCTTGAAGAAAGTTAAAATAAAATTACCTCTGCATAAACAACTTGTTTTTAATGCTCATTCACTTAAATCTGATTAACTTAAATCATTATACACCTAACGGACGCACGACACAATAGGAAAGCACGCACGGAATCGCAAACTTTTATTATTTTATATAGATATATTACAAAAAAAATGCAAAACCGCAAACCTTATCACTAATCTAAACTAGCGATGACCAATATAGTGTATTAATTTAACTTCCCAGTACAAGATTATGTTTCTTGTCAAGAAACAATTACCTCTCTAGGACATACTACCAATTCCATGAGGAGACGTCTCACGTGTCACCTACATCAGATTGCCATAAAAGAACACCTATCAACAATTTATAAGAATTCTTAAGAAAAATTCTGGTCGAAAGCACTTCTATATAAATCACATTACCCGAAAGATCTCGATATGACAGAGGCCTTGTATATTAATAATCTCTCTCCGATAATCCACATTAGCTTATTTTACATGTTGGCAACATTAAAGGAAATGAAACAAAATGGCATTATATGTACGTTTCGAAATTAAAAAAAAACTCAATTTTCGTTCTTTACTCTTACAAATGTGTCAGATCCTTTTTTTTGTAACTATATATATATATATATATATATATATATATATATATACAGGTTATATATATATATATATATATATATATATATAAAATTATTCATATTTCAGATTCCTTTAAACAACAAATATTTTAGATATTTAAAACATATTTTTTGGCGTATTTCAAAAAAATATTTTCAAGTGAATATGATTTATAAATAACTAGCAGTAGAGCCCGGCGTTGCCCGGGGATGTAACTGTAAGAGATAGATCAAGTATCGACCATACAAAGTTTATAAGCAGTAAATTCGACCTTGTCTACCGAAAAGGTTCTTTGTGGCCCAGAGGTAAGGCACGTCAGCGGAAATGACAGTTCCGTATAGGATGCAGGCTCGAATCCTGTCAAAGAACGAATATTTTCAATGAAAATTTCTCGGACATTCAGGCCAGTAAATGTTATTTAATACTGTTTATCATAAACAGAGCATTTGCTTAAATACTTGTATCTATAAATAACAACGTTAAACATAAAAATATATATATATACATATATTTTCAAAAGCATCTAATATATATATATATATATTTCAAGAGCTTCTAATATATATATATATATATATATACACACACAGACATATATATATATTTTCAAGAGCCTCTTTTATATATATATATATATATATATTGAACAATAAAAAAATATTAAAAAATTAAAATCTTCAGACACACTAGGTTGTAGATTAATATTCTTTTGTTTGTTTTTTTTATTATTATTTCATTTAGATTCCTCGAATAGTTTCGGCCAAAATGGCCATCCTCGGGAGGAGAAATATTTCTGCTTGCTGGTAGCAGTAAACTACAGAATATATTTATATATATATATCAATTTCACTTGAGCTCTCTGGGGACGAGGTGTGGGTTGGTAAACAGTGACTATTATAGTTATATAGCGAGACTCTTCCCAGATACGAATTGAGTCACTGTCGGTCACTGGGCGTGTTTCTAAAAATAAATACGCTAAAAAAATCCACTTTCATCCTTTCCGTGCGCCGACGGCTTAATGGTTAGAATCTCCGACTGACACCAATTCAGGGTTTCGATCCTAGAGGCAACCGGATGTCTAGCCACACTGATGAGCTGTGAAACAGCGAAACAGTCTGTCTGTGGATGACGTTATATATATATATATATATATATATATATATATATAAAAAAGGCTTAAACACTAATATTCCATGGTCATAATTTATTCCATTGGAATCGTAAATACAAAGCGGCCCTTTAAGTAAACACAATTTTATTTTCCTTCGTCCCATCCCTCTCCCCCACCCTTTCCCTTTTTTTTTTTTTTTTTTTTTCCCTTCCTATCCGAATTGTCTGTGGTGTGTATATGTCACCACGAAATGTATCTTTATGTATTAGACATCCGTCGACTTTCTTTCTCTCCTCTTTTTAAATCCACCCCACCCACATCTCCAAAAATTCTCTCTGTCACTCATCCTCATACTTACACTTTCTCTAAATTCTGTTTTGATTTCCGGAGTTGTTTTTTTTCTGTTTTCATTTTGAATTTGTAGGTCTGATGATTTGGATCGTATTTACGATTCCAATGGAATAAATTATGACCATGGAATATTAGTGTTTAAGCCTTTTTATTATATCCTTACTCTGTCCTAGACATTGAGTTCTACCTGGATCCTTCCTCTTGGAAAATTTTTTTCTGAAAATATACATGTATGGGAATTTTTTAGATATATTTTTCATATGTATGTATATTTTCCACTAATATTATCTATCTATATATATATATATATATATATATATATATATATATATATATATATATCTTTAGGTATATCTAATTCGTTATGAATTTAAGTAATCAAAAGTCATTCCAACGATATGAATGCTCTCACGAAATATCATCTACTCATAATATGATCTCCCTCTCTTTGCTTCACACAGACACGTACACACATTATCAGTACGTACAGTCACACGTACGCTGACACGCTCGCACACACAGATACAATGATTGATATTTAGATAGATATATGGATAGATAGCTGAAAAGATTTAACATATAAATCTCTTTATTTATCTACGCACACACACACACACACGCGCACACGTGCGCACGAACACACCTACACGTCCGTGCGCGCGCGCACACACACACACACACACACACACACACACACATATATATATATATATTTTATTTTATTGAAGTTACTCGTACGTACACGTGCAGGAATATTATGAAACCTCTATAAAAACCATATACGCACACTTATATCTATCTATCTATCTATCTATCTATCTATCTATCTGTTATAATATTTTTTAATATTTTATATCGCTACATAAAAAATTCTATGTTTCGAAACTTAAAACCGTTCCTCATCAGGCGATGTTAGATACCTTATGATGACAACGATTTACTTGGGAAATCAAAACAATTGGTTAGATCATTTGGGAGTTAAAGAGAAGTGTGGAAAACCAAGATTCCAAAATTAAAAACAGATAAGTTGGCATATTAGATACACCCATTACAAACGACATCTGGTTACGAATGTAATGATGCAGTGAATAAGACAGAGCTTTATAGTTAACAAAAGGTTAATTTTAAGGAATTAACATCCCTTTATAAAGATCTTTTGGCATTTAAAAGAAATTAATAAAACCCATGCAGTAAAATGGAAAATATTAACATAAACGAAAATTTGTAAGTCCTTAAATAGCCCATGTCCTCAGTGTCTACATAGAAAGCTGCATATTATAAAGTTTCCTAAAAATAAAGTTCTCCTAAATCAGAGAAACGAATTAACAGTGACTTGTAGACATTCTATAATTTTTACTTTAAAATATAGGTAAAAGGATATTTCACAAAAATCCATGCATTGCAATCACATATCCATTATTTTATTCATATATAATGCTCAACATATTTATTTAATTCTTTGGTTTTTCAACTTTAATATTGACTTGTTTTATTGCCTATGTAACATAATATATAGCGTATTTAGGGTTAAAAATTATATTTAAAAATGTTTTAATTACACTAGGGGGTCCTTTAAGATAAATCTAAAGAATAACATTTTTAAAATCATCTTGAAATTACTTAAAATTAACATTTTGTTAAATATAACACCCTACTTCACTATATCTTTAGATTCGTAACCGGATGTCGTTTGTGGTGGGTGTGTCTAATATGCGAACTAATCGAGACATGTATTAATAACACACCTACCCCTAAATTATGACCTTATTTTCATTTTTCTGTATTAGCTTTGATCTGTATTTTGATTGGTTAATCAAGACATGCCAACAAATGTGATCTTTAATTATGGTATCTTGGTTTCTCCCTTCGTTTTCAATTCCCAAATGAGTTACAGAATTTTTTTATTTTTTTTGTTTTTCTAACTAAATCGTTTTTCATCATAAGTTACCTAAAATCGTCTGATGAGGAAGACTTTTAAGTTCGGAAACATAGAAATTTTTATATAGCAATGTAAAATATTATGATAATATTTTGTTCTACTTTGTATCGAGCACTTTTTAAAAGGTAAAATGCTAAAAACGGTGGAATCTTATTTTGTCTGTACTTTATCTTTCTTTGGATATTTTTCTATCTATCTATCTATCTATGTAATAAAAAACTCAAATAATATATATATATACATATATATATATATATATATATATATATATATATATATATATATATATATAATGTAAGTTTCGTTGAAAATCATTTCACATGTGTTTTTTGTTCAGGCATATATTATATAAAATTCACCGAATATTTTCCAAGAGCTTTCGCCTAGAATTTTAGCCATTATAAAGGAAGAATTTTATTTTACTTTTAACTGAATAAATATATTGTTTTATATATGTATCTAGAGTTATATTAATGTTTTATTTTTCAATCGCAGTCAGCATATTGTGGCCGTGGTCGTAGTTGAGAGTTGGCTTCTTTCATTTTTATTGATAAAAATGAAATATCAAACAAGAATAATAACAATGGAAATTATAAATAAAATCGAATAGTAACAAACTGTGTATAAGATAAATTTAAAAAAATAAAAATAATAAAAGTACTCCCAGCATGCAACAAAAACTGTTTCTTCCGGAAATACGAGTATCCAGACAAAAGAGGTTAACTTCAATCTCTTCGGACATTCAGAATATGTCCAGCTTCTCCGTCTGACAAGGCGTATAATAATAGGAAGTAAGATCTTCCTTACATTACATGCCCCATGAACATTTGTAAACAAAAAGACACACACCAATGCATATACAACTTATATAAATTGTCTGATATGAATCTACAATTTACCATGCTTTCACTGTTAACTATACTTCTTTTCTTTTCTTTTTTATGTTTTTATTGTCGTGAAAACGAGGCTATTTCTGTTTTTATGATACGAGTGACTGACATGGAACTGATAAATCTAATACTTAAGTAATTTTGGGCAAACTGGTTTATTACAACAAATTACAGTACTTCAACAATGATCGATCGAATACATTAGTGAAGAAGATGATCATAATGAGACCACATTCAAACTTTTACTCTATCCATGTCATCTTAAATGCAAAAAAATGACCTCAAAAATCCATAAAAAGAAACAAACAAATACTTCCAACAAAAATTATACATAACATAATTTTGATAATCCTGCTCTCTAACACTTCAACTAAACACGCAAATGAATTAGTCATTCCTAATAAAAAAATCTTACAAACATTTCCAGAAACATCGGAGAAATAAGAACGACGAAAAATAAAATAACAAAAATCGAATGCCGGAGTTTATCAAAAGCAATCAAATGTACACTGGGGAGACTTCACGTAATCTAAGGACCCGCATCAAGGAACACAAAAGAGATTTGCGTTTAGATAAACATTCAAATTCTCTCGTTTTACACCACAACAACATAGGATATAAATTTGATTTCACCAATGCTAGCCTTATCAAAAAAAAAAAAAAGAAAAGAAAACTACTCTTTATAGAGAAAATATTATGAAAATATATTTATAACAATATTAACAACTATTAACACACATTGTAAAAAAAAAAATACATTACATCAACATTTTTCTTCAGATAAATTATTCATGAATCTAAGCTATTTTTCCGAATACATAATTAATCAATTTATACACAAAATACGTACGATATATACTTTAATGAAAAATCTAACGAAACATTTTTTTCGAAATATCGTGACACTCATCTAACCAATAAGAAATGGCCAAACACAACATGGCATTAATCTGCGTTTGTTTGTTTGTTTTTTATAATTTTTATCATTTCTATTTTGATCTCTGACGAAGTTTTAATAAAGGGAAACATGTTAGATTGAGATATGTTTTCCTACTTTTTCTTTATTTTATTTTATCATATTGTCGTATCCTATGCATACGTATATGTCTATAATTAATTGGTAACAGAAGCCATTGGTTTATACCAACGGCTTCCGATACTTAATTCTTCTCGAATTCACTCTGGCGTTGTCATGTGTGACGTCATGAGCTGCGGTGCGATTTTCGCTTCCAACGTCTTATATGCACATGTTTATCGTTGCTTGGAAATCATCCATGTAAACAATAACAGACTATCATCACTGTCTTGTCCGTTATTGCTTAATATATTGTACAGTAATTGATATCTTTGATAATGGCTTATGTAAGCCGAAAGCTTAGATTGGATTAAAAAATATGGATCAATATTGTGGTTTTCTTTCTTTGTTTAATGATAATATTATTAAGCTTATCAGACGTTATGAAAAGAATTTACATAAAATAAATAGACAACACTTGTCTATATAATTTAATGAAACATGTATATATATATATATATATATATATATATATATATATATATATATATGTGTGTCTGTGCAGGGAGTCGGAGCTAAAATTTGCTAAATAAATGCTTACACAAATAAATGCCACATTCCTATCGGCACAGCAACACATCTGTGTAGCCTAAAGACAACACTCAAACTTCCATATCCGAATACGGCTACGTCACTGGATTTCACATAATTACATCGAACAGGCATTGGCAGGCGGAGATCGTAGCCAATGTCTTCAATTCACTGATGGCTGACGTTTTGTGATTTTATGCCAAAGTGGAGAAGAACTCTGACATGCCATTGATGGCCAGAGATAGATTCCTCGCACGCAATCCATTACAAGATTAAAAGATTGTCTGCGAGTTGGTAAACTCCAAGCCAGTAACAGATATTCCCATTTCTCTCTGACCATGTACAACTGTTGCCGTCATTGATACGTAGAAGTGTTCAAGATAATAAAGGTATTTACTGAGTATGGCTCGTTATAAGCTACATACTTATAAGTAGAGTTATTGTTAGCGATAATAAAATGTCATATCCACTTGGAAGAGTAGCTGACTCAATCCCACTTGTCACCCTCGTTAAGTTAAATGCTTTATTAATCGTATTCTTCAAGTTTCGTCCGTTTTAATTACGGACCACTGACAATGCATTTCTAATTTTTCTAGTACTATGTCTTTCTCTTTTGAATAATTTGCCTTGGATTACGATTAAGATGTTTGAAATGTTTCCAGTCCGACAGATTTAGAGAATAAGAAGCATAATAATGAAAACTATACTTGACTGATCGAAGGCGTATCATTCCACTCCTTTCCATCGTAAAATCAGTAGCACCATTTTATTTTAGTTTTTAATAATTTCATCCCAAGCAATGTGGGGATGACATTAGTACGCAGGGAGTTACTGGAAGTAAATGTGAGAGAAAAGAATGAGTATAGGGAAGTTTGGTTTGGTTCGGTTCGTTTTACAGCATATCAACCTCAATGGGTTATTTAATGCCGACAAAATTTTTATAGCTGGTAATATTTTTTATCTATCTATCTATCATTCATCTATCTATCTATCTATCTATCTCAATATATTGGTTTGGTTTGTTTTCATTTCATAATGCCTCAATGGGTTATTTAATGCCGAAAAATTTTTATAGCTGGTAATATTTTTTATCTATCTATCTATCTATCTATCTATCTATCTATCTATCTATCTATCTATTGGTTTGGTTTGTTTTGTTTTATCTCAGTATATATTGGTTTGGTTTTTTTTGTTTTCTATCGGTTTGTTTTGTCTTGTTTTACGTCATATCAACCTCAATGGGTTATTTAATGCCGACAAAATTTTTTATAGCTGGTAATATTTTTTTATCTATCTATCTATCTATTTCTATCTATCTATCTATCTATCTATCTATCTATCTCAGTATACATTGGTTTGGTTTGTTTTGTTTTTACGTCATATCAACCTCAATGGGTTTTTAATGCCGACAAAATTTTTATAGCTGGTAATATTTTTTTATTTATCTATCTATTCATCTATCTATCTATCTATCTATCTATCTATCTATCTCAGTATATATTGGTTTGGTTTGTTTTGTTTTATCATATCAACCTCAATCTTATTTAATGCCGACAAAATTTTTTATAGCTGGTAATATTTTTTATCTTTATCTATCTATCTATCTATTGTTCTATCTATCTATCTATCTCAGTATACATTGGTTTGGTTTGTTTTGTTTTACGTCATATCAACAAAATGGGTTATTTAATGCCGACAAAATTTTTATAGCTGGTAATATTTTTTATCTATCTATCTATCTATCTATCTATCTATCTATCTATCTATCTATCTCAGTATATATTGGTTTGGTTTGTTTTGTTTTACGTCATATCAACCTCAATGGGTTATTTAATGCCGACAAAATTTTTATAGCTGGTAATATTTTTTATCTATCTATCTATCTATCTATCTATCTATCTATCTATCTATCTATCTATCTCAGTATATATTGGTTTGGTTTGTTTTGTTTTATGTCATATCAATGCCGACAAAATTTTTATAGTTGGTAATATTTTATATTTTATCTATAAATCTATCTATTATCTGTATATATTGGTTTGGATTGTTTTGTTTTTATGTCATAAACCACAATGTTATTTAAATGGTAATATTTTTTATCTAATCTATCTATCTATCTATCTATCTATCTATCTATCTATCTATCTCAGTATATATTGGTTTGGTTTGTTTTGTTTTATGTCATATCAACCTCAATGGGTTATTTAATACCGACAAAATTTTTATAGCTGGTAATATTTTTTATCAATCTATCTATCTCAGTATATATTGGTTTGGTTTGTTTTATTTTACGTCATATCAACCTCAATGGGTTATTCAATGCCGACAAAATTTTTATAGCTGGTAATATTTTGTTTTGTCAAAATTCTATTTCTGGTAATATTTTTCCTTCATAAATGTATTGCTGGTAATATTTTTTTTCAAAAATGTATTGCTAGAAATATTTATTTTTTAAAAACATTGTTGGCAATATTTTTTTTTTTAAATATTGCTGGTAATAGTTTTTTTTTTCTTCAAAAATGTATTGCTGGTAATAATTTTTTAAAGTATTTCCGGTATTAAAATCTATTTTTACACGTTCATAGTGTTTTTAACCCTGTTTCGATGTTAATTATTTGCCAGTAGCTGTATCTTGACTAGTGATATTTCGCTATTCTTGATAAAATTCAAAGTAGGGCCTGTAATATAATCGATCCTGACCTGGAATTTGGACTTCATTCACTTTCTCACCGACGTAATGTGGCTTCCCTCTGTCTTTTCTACAAATATTTCAATGGCAGCTGCTCTGACTTTTTCCCCCTGATGTCCCAACTACAACAATTTAAGCGTGCTACTACATTGGAAACTAGGTCCCACTCTTTTACTATATAACTAACTAGATGCAACAGCCACTTCTACCCCATTTTTTCCTCGCACTTCTTACCTGTGTGAGTCCGTTCTGATTACTTTCTTTCCTGCCACCTACAATCTTCAAAAATTGAAATACATCATCAGTCGCCAGTTTCTGTCTTCCTGAACTGTCGATACTAATCCTCATTAAAGAATTCTCATTCTCTTTCAATCACCATGCATCTTAGTGGCATTATTGGCTTGATTGGATGAAACGATTTAAAACGATTGATATTACAGTCCAGCACTCTTTTCTAAGGAGATTTTCCTTTATTTCTAATACTTTGCTTAGGTTCTGGAAGGAATAGTTTTTCCAGTACGGATTTCGGTGCCATATTTTTAGCCATTTGTAAAACAATTCCCTGGTATTAAAACGTTTTGTCTAATTTTGACCTTAATTAGGCATTCGCAGGTGAGGAGACAAAAGGATTTAAATAGCTGGACCAACCGCTTCGAAGTAATTTATTTTATTTTTTTTTTGTCTCTTGGCTTTTTTATTTATTTATTTATTTTTTTACCTTGTTTTCTTTTTTTTACCATAAAATTTGGCCTCAGGTAGCTTTCGAACCCACGAAGCCAACGAATTTAAGGTGAATCGAGTTCAATATGATCTCCCCACGTTGGAACATCTCCCTGTTGATTTGGACTTTCTGTAACAATAAAGGTCTGCGGTATAACATTCGCGAATATGTTGTTGTTGTTTTTTTTTTACTTTACATTAAGACCGGCTCACAGGACGTAGGTTAAGAAGATAACATAATAGGGCAATTAATGTCGCGTGAAATTTTTTCTTTAATTGTTTTATTATTATAATAGAATAGGGGGCACATTGTTTTAATGGATAGCGGTTCAGATTGAGAAATTGGAGAGCCGTGTTCGAATTACGTGGTAAATAACCTTGATAAAGGTAAGAAAACATCTCCCCCCCCCACACACACCAAGTAGATAACAGGATAGACTGGATCCTATAGCTTTGATTGTCGACTAAGCTAGTACGAAGAAAACTCTGGATTCAAACAATCCTGGATAGGATTGGGCTCCGTCAGGTTACTCCGGCTCCAGTAATTGTGGTGCCCCTACGAGCTGAATGGATTACGGCTATGTGAGCTTGAAAAAGTTATGTTATCAGTATAAATACCTATTTAGAAAATGAAAAATAAAGTTGGCTAAGTGGACAGAAAATGATAGTAATAAGTAAGTCTTAAAAATAAAAACAGTTTTGAAATAAAGAAAATTGAAATGTCTCTGACATAGACTTTTGAACATATATGCATACACAAAAATATACCAAGTTCTAGCGAATTATGTAGATCAATTAAGATCGAAATTCTTTGATATACCGACTCAACACTTTTTCTTTTCTATCTATAAGTTTACCATTCGTCCATGCTTTGGATATTGCTGCCATATATGGTCCGGTGCTCCTGCTATATATTTAGGGATTCTTGATCAAATACAAATGGTCTGGTGTCACGGCTTCAGTCACATTTCCACTGCCGTAAAGTTGATTCCCTGTGCCTTTTCTATAAATACTTTCATAGTAATTTTTCTTCGCGATAGTGTATTGTAAATTCTCATTTGGGGCTAGTTTTTAAATTGTTGTTTTATTCCATCCCCGGCAAATATAATGAATTATACATATGGATACTAGTTAGGATTTTCATAGAGACAATGAGGTATTATGGTAATTGTAGAAAGAAAAGTATGTAAGAATGTGTTGGTTTGGTGTTAGGAATATCGTCGCATGTTTGGGTCAGTGTTTGTGGCTAGCTAGGTTTAAAGTTAAGACAGAACAAGACCGTTCTTTTTCCTGATTCCCCATTTTTGGCCTTGTGTCACATATTCTGTATTTGAAGCGGAAATAAATATCGCTCTTCGCTACGGTACCTAGCCTATATGCATTTAAGAGCAATACTAAACTGAACACGATGTCACATCAATTTACAGTTTAGTTGCTTAGATGTAACATTAACTTCTATACAAACAATTTTTTTCTCGCACTTCTCGCTCGTGGGACCCTCTTTCGAATTCATGGTTTCCAGGCAAATTAAATCTTCAAAATTGTATATGTAACGTCAATCGATATCTACTGTCCTTCTGATTACTCTTCTATTGTCGTCGTTCATTATTAGTTTCTCTGTTTGAGCATTCTTCCACACCCAGTAAACCATTGTGTCTTAGTGGCTATGTTGCCTTGCTTGGTGTAAATTCAGTATAAAAAATATTTGGGAACTTTATCTAATGTTGTATCCTCATCTACAATTGTATTTCTTTTTTATTCATACCTCCATCCCACCATCATTAAAATGTATTCTGTCTATCTTGCTATCTCCCGCTTAAAATTAAAAGAAGAAAAATAAATTGTTGTACAAAAAAAATGAAGAAAAAATATAAATATTTTTCTTTTTCTAACATTAATTGACGCGAAAAGATCTATCACAAATTGGAGTCCATTTTATCATGTTTTGCTTTTGTAAGTTATTTGACGAGGCTTTTCATTTTGGTGTCTTTTTAAGTTATTGTAAGGTGGTAGGGGTGTTTTTTTTTCCATTATCGAATTTGTTTTTTTCATTATTATTGTCTGCTTCCTTATTTTTCCATTCTTTTGATTTGATTACTGTGTTTTCGTTTCTCCAATTGCATTATTTTGCGTTCTTTCGCAAATCAACTGAAAATAATAGACACACACAAAGCCTTGCTCACACGTGTATATAAAGCCAGGTTAATGGTAATGATACTGGTCATATTAGCCGTTTCTGTTTAAATATCTTTCTCAAATCCGAGCAGGTAATGTAACATCGGTTGAATATTGATAAAATTATTCTCTTAAAACAGCGTTTCAGGAAAACAGGTTTCTACAGTCCAGTAGCTGATACAGTTCTTTCCAGTAATGATGTGGCTTTCAACCAAACCTTTCGTTTGAAGTAGTGTGGAGCCCCGACATCTTGATGACGTCAGTATTCTCTCTTCGAATTAAAAAGTGATAACTATTTTAGCGGTTTCTCCTATTTTAAGATCCTCAAGTGATGCGTTTTCTGTTATCTGGTACAGTTCATCGTTTGGGATTCTGTAGCTCAGTTCCACAAGGTTCGAAGAAGTATGGTTATCACTAAGACCTAATTCCCTCGATCGAAGCCATTTTTAACCACTGAACTAAGAAAGCTATTCTATAGAGTCAACTGTAGATATTTCTGCCATGCATGACATCCATAGAAAAATTATGATCTAACAAGATTATATAAATCCGTGATGAAGCACTAACGAAAAAATATAATGACTCATATGTATTTACTAGTATTAGCTAAAGTTGGCACAAAGTAACATTTAATAGGCTGTATCATTTTATCGATCTGCAGTCGTAAATATGATCGATATCCTAACGTTAAAAATGATCGATATACTGATGTTGAAGATCTCTCTGAAGGGCCTTGTGTCTTTGTAGCGCTATCAGCTTGCTTAGGGGCAGAGGCAAAAAATACATGTTTTAAAGAAAATTTTCGACAATATTTTATTGTGCACTATCAACATTATTCGCACTATTGTCCTAATTTTTGTTGCCATATTTATCACAACGTTTCGGCTGTTGTACGCTCTGGCCTACTTCAAGTTGTTGGAATGTGGAAATGAAACCTTTATTTCGCTCGCTGTGGTAGACTGATCTAGTTTCACGTGCCGTGTCTAATGAATGTCACTTATGAAATAGCTCCTGCTAATTCACCTCTACAACGGCTAAAACGATTTGATAAATATGACAAAAAAGATGAGGACAATAGTCCGAATAATGTAAATAGTGTAGATAATACCTAATCTCAGAAATATAGGCACATATTTTATTGAATTGGTATAATAACAAATAACATCTTCAATATGATTTCCATCAATTGTAATGCAAAGGTTGATACACACAGCAAGATGAACTCGATGCAATAGTTTGAAACCGCCTTCAATTTTCACATATTCACTCCTTATACGTTCAATCAAGTGCGTTTCATCAGTAATTTTCATTGAGTACATCTCCATTAGCATACCCCGGAATAATAAGTCGATACTTTCCTCATTTGACAAAACCATGTTTAATTTATATAGGCAAAAATTTATAGTTAATAAGATTTCCTTTGTGTCCAAAATTGTGGGGACGCCCTTCATATAGATATATCATCAAACAGTCTTTAGCGTAATTCGAACATCTTCAGTAATTAGAGCAAGGAACTGTTACTATAAAAAAAAAAAACGGTGGTAATATATATATATATATATATA